TTGCACCTCTTTAAAAAAGCCTGAGGGTGCCATGGCAGGCTGCCCACAGAGGTGGCAGCGGGTCTGGAAACCACAGTCTGAACCCAGTGGTTGAGATGGGTCTTTGTGGAGTCCCATGGCAGAACCTGTCCTGTCTGTATTTTACCTGAACTAAGTATGCTTTTAAAAATCAGAGCTCACGCTGCATGCCTTGCTCCAGGTTTTGCTTTACTGTACTCCTGCCAGCTGGGTTTAAACAGCAGAGCTTTACTTGCCAGATCTCCCCTGGAGCTTCATAAAACAGGGCCATCCATTTTCCACTCATTTTTTTCACTGGTATCACCCAGACCCTCCTACTTGCTGCCTCTCTCTCTTCCAAGTGGTCAAAGTTTGGGCAGCACGGAGCTTTTAACAGCTCCATAAATGAGGATGGGTTAGTTTTACAGGTTGCTCTGCCTGAAGCAAAAGCCCCTTTCCGTGCCCAGGCACAGTGACCAGCTGTCACCAGCCAAGGTGACACCCCTGCTTAGGCTGGACTCTCACTTTGTGTGCTGCCAGAGCATCCTCCGGTGGTATGGAAATGGTTTCCTTCTCTTTGAAGTAGCCCAAACTCACTGAGCCCTTGGCTGCAGATGATGTAATTTAAGGGGGTTTTGTGGTGAGAGCTGAGTTTATGAGAGGGCGAAAAAAGGCTTTTTCATTGCCAGCAGGCTCCCAAGATCTTTCTGAAATAATTGCTGACTGCTGCCTGGATTGGTTTTGTTGTAATATTAATGACTTCTCTGGGCAGCTTGAGTTTCATAAACACAACTTTTTAATTATTCAGAATAAAAATAGCCAAGGTATAGCTGCAAAACAGTCATGCTGTGTTTTTCAGTTCCGATTTAGAAAAGGGGTTAATGTAACTTTAATGATATACAAAAGTACAAATACATAGAAAATGCAAAACATCTAGAATCTAAACTACTTCTGTGCTATACAGAAATATCTCTGCTATACAGAAGTATCTGTACACATGAAGTGCAATTCCAGCATTTACTTTGCCCTTGCTGGCCAACAAAGCCACTTTCTAAAGCAATGTATACCTTTAGACTGTTCTGAATGATGTATGACAGAGTATCTTGATTTCTCAAAAAAAAAAAAAAAAGGCTTTGTATGAAACCTCCTGCTTTCTGCAGGTGGAAATACTCAGGCTGGCAGCTGAGTATAGCTGACTGCTACTCAGCTGACAGACCTACAGTTTCACAATTCTTTAGTTGTTTTTAATTTTATGACACTGCTTTACAAGCTTTTTGGACAACTGACAACCCTCACAATGTCGTAGGGGCAGTTACACGCTTTTGTAGTCAGATATTTCATGTAACACTTTCTCAGTAGTGGAATAGTGTTGGGAACCAGCTACAGATTGCTTGCCATAGCCTGGTAAAGTGGCTCCCAGTCTTTGCTCATTTGTAAGTGTTCTCTGATTTACAGCATCCTCAGAAGAAGTAAGATTTGCAATACATAGTGCCATGACCTGGTTGGCATCTTGGTTCATATTAAACTAATAACAGAGATGTCTGAAGGTTTTGCAGATTTCCTTACACAGATTTCCTTTCCCTTCTATATTTACTCTTTTCAAAAGACCTATGAGGTCTTCATATTTTACTCCACTAAGTAAGAAATGGATTTTTTGTGGGAAAATGAGTTGTTTTAATGCATCTGCCTTAGACTAGCTTGCAACTCACCTAAGTTGGTAATAACAGATAAAAGCACTAACTGCTTCAGACACTGAAAAACAGAGTAATATAACAGTAGTGAGAACAAACGCTGCAAATCCAGGGCAATAGGACCACAATATGGGAAGAGGAGGTTGTTCAGCATGACACATTTGTCTGGAAATCAACTCTCAGCTGAAGGCAGTGGGAGGAGAAGAAGAAGGGATGGGAACAGGGAGGAGGAGAGCCCCTTCCAGAGGCCATATCCCTGATGCCAAGGCTGTGCTTTCATCTCCTGAGAGCTCTGGAAACAATGAGGGATGGGAGAGACAGTGGCAGGGCCAATGGCCTGCAGTCTGCATCCTCCAAGAAGGTGAACTGTTGAACACTGTAGTAGATAGCAGGAGTTTGGTTTATTGTGGATTTGATTCTTGAAAAAGATGCTTGCCAAGTAGTTCTGTAGACAGCAGCTTTTTTCTTATCTTCAGGTAAGATTCAATAAGGGAGACATGCTGTACAACCCACATGGAAATGCTGTCCTGCCTAGACAGGCCATGTGAAGTTTCTTCCATTACCTGCTATGAAGTTAAAATTCAGAGGGTCTTTTTTTCTTGGCTGCAGAGCAGAGGCCTCCAGGCAAGCCCACAATCAGAGAACCACCTCAGTATTCCAAAGCCTTGTGCTCTTGAGAAGTTAGATGTTCTTGCTGCTAGGATTGGGAGGGGGGAGGAGGAGGGCAATGAACACATACCTCTCTTTGACAGTGAAAGAAAATCTGGTGGTGCATTGTTTAGAAAGAATAACATAAGGGTTTACTGGTTTTTAACATCCCTGGGGATGGGAGAGACACAGAGCTCAGTGTTCCTGCAGCAGTGGCAGGAACTCAGTGGTTGTGGACATGCCTGCCCAGGTCAGTCCTCCTCAGTTACAGCTGGGGACCAGGGCAGGGAGCACCCTGAAGGGCTCCCCAGGGCTCTGTGGTAGCCAGGTCCCACCAGTTTTGTAAAGCATAACTTAAAGGCGGATCAAGGGAGGCGAGGCGCTGAGCTGCCGCTTCTCCAACGGCTGGAAGGCAAAGCTGGGAATTAAACCCCAAATTTCCATGCCGGGGTAAATCTGCTGGCTGATGTTTGTGTGAGTTGGATACATTCTTCTGAGGTCTCCTTTTTATTCTATGTTTTGTTTACTTTAATTTTTACATGTCTTCAGGTTGTATGTGCATATTCTAACTCAGGGAAATAAACACCATATTCTTTTCTATATCTTCTATTATTATAAGTTTTCGTAATACAACATAATACAATGCCATACAAGGCAATATTAGCAGTTCAATCTCCAAGTTATTTCAGGATTGTTTTTTGGTTTTGTTTGGGGGTTTTTCTAAGTTAGCACATCTCATGAGGATGCAACAGAGGTTTCAGATTTATTAATGGAACACTAATGGTCTTTACAATCCTTTTAAGAAGAAAAAAATATTTTATCTTTTTAGAACAAGTGAATATTGATGATATTGCTGGAGTGACTTCATGGGGGAATGCAAGCACAATAAACTGTATATCAAAGTATATATCCTGAATTCCTAATGCATTAAGAGGTGGTTGTGCAATTAATGCATGTGTAAGTCAAGACAGGTCAGGTGATTTTACAGCCTAGGTAAAATCCCAGCCCTTCTAGCTAGAATAAAACATGATGGTTTACATTGCTCCAAGAAAACAGGACACATGTCAATACAAATGAAGTCTACTGTTAGCACAAACTTTAAGTGATCAGAATTTTGTCCTATAACCTGGAGAAACCTGGGGAAACACAGGCTGATTTTTATCACAAAACCCTAATCTGGAAATAATGTTATTTTTATTCAAATGTTTAGTATTTTTTAGTGTAAGCAGAACCAAATTACTCTGAAAGGGTTATAAAAGCAGCACTCTACTTTCCAGCAGAGAAGGGGTTGGGGGAAAACATGCAGCATATTATAATAGCAAGACTGTGCATTACACAAGTCACAAAAAAATAGCTCTTTTTGTCATGAAGCAGGAGACAATGCAACAAAATTCATCCCGAGCTAGAAAAATAGGAAGTTATTCTGAAGCAGGACAGAATCAAATAAACCACAGGCTCTGCTTTAGAGGTAGTGAGGGATGATTGTACACCAAGTGTTGCTACTCCCTTGCAGGCTCAGCAAAGCCCAGCAGAGGCAGTAAGGGAGAAGCAGAGCCATGAAGCAGTTTGAGAACTTCAAAGAGGAGGTGATGAGGAAGAGAAATTATGCATCTGGACTTCTGCATTTTTCCCTTTAAGAAGATAACGTTAGTAATTTCATTAAATAAATGCTGACTCAATTCAACAGTGTTGCAGTTTCAGGAAAGAAGTTGTTTGTATCTTTGGGCATCTTGGAACAGATAGCAAAGAAGTTTTGCGCAGTGGGAATATATCTGCAACAGGATAAGGGATCTGCACAAACATAGAGAGTACCATGAATGAGGGATTTGTCAGCATTTCATGATTAATAAGTCACCAATCCTTCAGCCTGAAGTGAGAGGAACCCACCTTTCCTTCTAGGAGCTCAGTGAGAGTGTAGACATTTGGAACAAGGCACTGGAAGCTACCATGCAAAAACAGGGGCAAGCTGTAAATACCTGAAGTGTTGTGATTCAGTCTGACACGGAGCCACTCTCCTGACCATCAGTAGTTCCTCTTCAACGGCACACTGGAACCAGACTGCCCTCTATACCTCTACTTCACATTTCTCGTCTCCATCGGAATAATGTTTATCTTCCAGGCATCACTCATATTCCTTCTACTATTTCTGGCTTTTCAGTGCTGTTCCCCCTTCAGGTACTCCTGGGCACCTCTCAAACATCTGCATCTACAGTTTCAGCACTCACGCGATGATTCGTGTTCTATCTCGCTTTTTCTCTTCCCGACTGCTTCATCAGGCTGGCTAATTACAGACACTGAGTCTTCTGACTTCTGAACCTCTAGACCACATGCCATTACTCCTTTCAAGCATTTCTTAGAAGTGTATGAAAAAAAAAGTTTGGTTTTTTTTTTTAAATTAAAGCTCAGATTTCAACAGAATGAAAAACTTCAGAAGTCATTTTCAGGAAAACTTTCCACAAGATAGTCTTTATTCTTATCGCTACTCACAGCCACTGCACATTTCCTTTCCCACTCCTTTCTCTCTCCCTTTTTCCATCCCCTAGGAACCTGACATAGGGTGTTAGTGAAAATGTAAGGCAAGAAATTGTCAAGTCCTGCAATAATGGCCATGAAATGTCACTGGACCACCAAAGAACAATGGACAAGAAGATAATGTAACAGAAATCACGGAAACTTCAAGTTGCATTTTCATTTAAAAATAAGATTAAATGCAAATCTCCTCTGAGGCTGTCATACTTATTTACATACATACATATTTACACCTCAGACAAGAACTAGTCTCGGCAAAGAGCTGGGACTGGGACTATGGGAGAGATGAAACAACATGACAAGCCAAACCACAGCTGAAGAGCTGAGACCACCCAGAACACCATAGTTTGCTCTGTTGAATTTTTTGCAATATCAGCTCCTTTGATTTGTGTTGCAGAAACAAATGGCTGTGATCAGGAGAGTCAAGAGTCTACAACGAGCAATAGAGACTGGTAAAGAGCAAGCCCCAAATACAATTTTTTCCCAGTCTCATGGCAAGAATAACCTCTTGCCTCACCCCTAGTTCTGTGTGCATGCCTGGTTGCTGTAACATTGCTTTTTCACCTCCTATCATCACTGTTCATGTAAGCACTGAAGCTATGGATCCATAATCATTAAAAGATGAAAGCAAGAAGATTTTCAAATTTACTTGACTTTGGGATGTAATACAGCTGCATTAAAATCTTCATTCACCACACATCTGCTTCTAAAATCTATAAAAGTTTAAAAATCAATAAAAAGCTCTGAGGCATCATAACAGAGCTGAGTATCTTAAATACCCAATGCATTTTATTTATTGTACATCATTGTGGGTTTTAACTCATTCTACATTTACACTATTATTTTATGAAGATCTGAGTCCCAGTAGGACTGAAAATGCCTCCACATACAGAAGCCTCCTCCAAGCTACGGACAGAATAATTTGCATTTCCCTGTCCAACAATTTGAAACTTATTTTCTCATAAAAAAATACTTACTCTTTAAAAGCTTTGATCATTTAAATCTTGAAAGATTCCTGAGATAATGGGCAGTTGTTCCTGAGATAATGAGACTACCCTACAATATTTGGCCAAAAATAGCACAAGTATCATTGATGCAAACAGGAAGCTTGTTGTTAGAAAAGGTTTTATTATGTCCATCTGAGTAAAACCTTCTTTTCTGTCCTGGTGACAGTCCATCACCACAAATCTCAGACAGTGATGTCTGAGGCAGTGCCAGCTGTGCCAGCTGTGGCTGAGTGCTGTTGAATGTCCGTCTCTGCCGGGGCGTCTGTGGGGCCTGACTGTCCCTGAGCCCCAGACTTCACCGCGTGCACTGCGTAGTTAAGGCTTGTGCTTTCCATCCAGCTCCACGAACCCCAGAGCGGATTATACAACATCCCATTCACAGTCTTGACTGAAAAGCCATCTAGGAAAGAAAGAAGCCAGATAAAGCAACTGATGTTCTTAAATATTGTAAGTCACTGCAGCATCAAGCTCTTTAGAACAGCAAGACTGAACCACACTTCTTCCTGCAGGCTGGGGAGCAGCGCTTCACAAGCTGGGCTTTGTCAGACACCACCACACGCAGTGCCACTGGCATTGCAGGTGACAGCAGCTCCTGCTCCTGGCAGCGGCTTCAACAGCTTCTGTGCCAGGCCCCGAACCACCGGCATGTTACGTGGTGAGCCCCTGCAATGTGCTCTGCCAGAAACCCCAACTTCACACCAGCACACCTGGGTGACTGGTAACGTTTTCTGTAGGCAGAGACGTTCTTCAGATTGACGTCACACGCTCCAGAACCAAAATCTGAGCATGTACTTGGAAGGATTCTGCAGATTCCCTTTAGGAACAGGAAAATGTAAGAAAGAGGCAGAAGAATGCCATCAAGGGCTCAGTGCAAATAAAGAGTGATTTATCACTCCCTGCTGAGCAGCGCTCAGTTTGCTGCATGGATCCGCTGTGTCCCAGCAGGATACAGGATGGAAGGCAGAAAACAAACACCCTATCAAAACAAATCACTCCACTGCACCTGCTTCTCCTTTTGAAGGAAGAACAGAAAGAACCACCAGTATGTGAACCAGTATTAGTCATGTTCCTTATGGCATCACTGCAAAGTGCCAGGAAAAGACCTTGCCAAGAGAATAGCTCCACTCATACTTCAATTTCTTTGCAGTGAACTAAAGCAAAGTGAAATATTCCATGAGAGGGTTTTAAGACATCTGCAGCTAAGGAGGGCAATGGGCAGAACTCTTTCCAGCTTTGTCTATTTTAAAAGCAATCAAACCAGGGCAATTGAATTAGAAATAATTAAAATCAGTATAATACAGTCTCTCAAGAAAAGAGTAACAAATTTGTGGTAGGTTTTATCTTCACATTTTTGAAGAAATATTTTAGCAACATAATATGAATAGAGAACATGGAGCAGCAACCAAAACTAAAAACGCCTCCTCCCAAGGGACAGACGACAAACAATGCAGTGGCAGCTCTGGAGTGCCAGTACAGTTATTGCCTCAGACATGGCCTAGAGCACATGAACCACTTCAGAGCATACATTCTGCCACCAGAACACAATGGAAAGCCTTGGCATTTTTATTTAGGCTATCAAAGAGAGGGCAGCTGTAACAAGATTTGTTTGAGTAATCTCTACATTCTTAGGATTTCACTTAGTTTATTTATTTTTTGCAAAATCCAGTAAGCAGCAGTGCCTTTTAACCAGAAATGACACTCATAATATATGACTGTTACCTCAGTCAGGAAAAGTTGTGTATTGTTGCTAGCACTCACCCCATGTAGCTTATTCCTTTGCTATTTCTACAGGGACCATTTGGATATCTCCCTCTGCATTCCCATCATTTGGCGTGGAACTTACTTGATTCCAGGAGGTGCTCCAGCTCTTCAGGGGGAACAAACTTCTCCCACTCGTGTGTTCCTTCTGGTACAATGCCCATTATCTTTTCTGCAACCACAATTCCCAGGACATAGGACAACTGCGTTCTATTGATTGTCGTAATGAATAAAGAACCTTCAGGCTAATGAGAAGATCAAAATGTTCAATTAGAAGAATATTAATTTTAAAAATTGTAAATTTAATCACCTTAAAATACAGAATTTGTCAATCTGCAACTCTACACAATGGAAAAAAGAAAGAAGTAATTTCTTCCCAGGATAGGTATTTACAAGTATAACATTTAAATACAAGAAAGAATATAATGGTCTAACAGTATGACTCAGTAGTCCTCAAAGAGTCAACATAATCAGAGTCTTGCATGGCCTAAAAACCATTTCCTTGCCCAAAGAACACCTAACAAAGAACAAAGTAACTTATAACATTTCCTACCCGGGAAATGGTTAAATAAAAGATATTAAGGCATATACAATATCCATCGTAAAAACTCCCCAAAACCAAAAAGCAATCAAACAAACAAACAAAAAACTCAAAACCACTTTTTAACTGAAACCAAAGTAAAATGTGCAACACTGCCTAATTTTTGAGATTCCTGAGTGCCTTGCTGTGCTTGTTTTACTGATCACATGGTTAAAAAAACAAAGCCAGAAAATAATTAAAAGTCCTCAAAAGACTGTTTGGTAGAAATAAACAAAAATTTCTTTGTCTCTATCTGGCTAAAAATTAGTTCCATTCAAATAAACAATATTCCTTCTGATGATCAGAAAGATAAAGAGATTAAAGGAAAGCTGCTGCTTGTGTGCTGAGCCTACCATTCTTCTTTACAAATGAATATCAAGAGGAATAACCACCTGAGTATTTCCAAGTACAACTATGACCCTTTAAAAGCAATCCAGGAGCACACCTGATGTGATGCTGGAGCTGGAATAGAATCTTGTGAGTCAGAAACATCCCTACAGTTTCAATGCAGTCTGAGCTATAGCTGTCCATCAGCAGCAGCACCATCACGTTTTCTCTCGCCTGGCTGAAATCAGATGCGACCAGACTTCTTAAGGTCTTGCTGCAATGCAACATTGCAATACTAGGCAATAACACTAACGCTTCGCTAAGGCAGGGTTGGGGAGATAAATTCCCCAGCTAAAGCTGGGAAGATGTACTTGCGTCACAAAGGAGAATGGCAGGCACATCCAAAGTGGAGACTTCAAAGTGGAGAAATGAATGCAGATGTGCTTTCACATTCCTTTAAGTAAGAGCCATAAAAATAAAAGAGAATAAATATTCCCAATAACGAAAGCAAAAACTCTCTTACCTTTAACACCTGAGAACAACACTTGATAAACGTTTCAAGGTCAGCCACATGCTCCACTACTTCAGAAGCTACAATTACATCAAAGGTTTCCATAGACTCTTCCACAATCTCCTCCAGTGAACTGGACTTGTACTGTATTCTCTTGGCCAGGACTGGATCAAATGACTTGTGCCGATCTGCTGTTCTAATGTTGTCCTCCAGAGGATCAATTCCAGTAACTGAAGCTCCCAGTCTAGCTAAAGGCTAATAAAACAGATTACAATTTATTCTCTGCATGAAAACAATTTACTTAAGGCTAACTTTGCAATGTACATACATGATGCAGAAAACATCCATCAGAGAACAAGACAAACAACAGTATGATGAGCTCTGATCCAGCAATTTTATTTTAAATGTTTACCAAAGCAATAAAACCCTTAGATTTGGAAGAGGTGGTGTTAATTTTCTTAGAAAATTATACACTGCGGTATACACATACTATATACTGGAATATAACTGTCTTTTAGAATACTTTATTCTGAATCTATTTCGTTACACCAAATAAAGATTTCCTCCACTATTACTCTCTGATAGAGGGAAAAAACAGAGGGGGGAAAATCAACACAGTAATTAAAGGGGGGAAAACAATGCCGTATTTAATTACTGTCATTACTTTCTTCAACATCCACCTGTAATGGTAAATCCTCATATCTTTTTAATGGTTACTTAATATATGATTATCTCTGGGAGTTTTTCACTGCTGAGAACTAAACACTGATGTTTACTAGGATAGCATCAGCCTTGGCTGTCACTCAGGTTTCTCCAGTGTCTTCTTACTCCTAGGTTAACACCTCAGTCATCACCTCTTTTGAAACTGAAACAGGCTGTAGAACATGACCACATGTATGATATTCCAACCTGAAATTCACCAGCTGTTCTGGCTGAGAAGGTGATGCAGCACATCAGTTTTGCCAGCCTTGTCAGAGAGACTGCTCTCACAAGGCTCCAGGATTTTGTTTAGAAGAGAAAAAAAACCCCAAACCAAAACACAAAAAAAAAAACAGGGGAGAGATTCAGGTCTCTTTGTAACACCTCATTTCAGATGCTGATGAAGTTTCCAGAGTAAGTTGCTCAGATCTCTAAACCTAAATTCACAAACCATCCCTGGTCTACTGATGGGACACAGCACTGTTCAGAGCCTTTGTGGACAAAGGGTTCCACCACAAACAGCAACTTCTCAGTCCCAGGTTTGTGCAGACTTCTCAGGAAGCCTCTGTAACATCAGAAAATACTTCTTTGGTAATGAGGATTGTCATGATTCTAAGTATTCTTGCCTAGGCTTGTAAATTGAAAAAAAAAAAAAAAAAGGAAAAAAAAAAGAAATACTCAAAGACTTTTTCATGTTTCTTCCCTTCTGAGTGTTTAAAATCTTATTTTACTGATAAACCTCAGAAATTTAGAATTTCTCATTACCACCTCTCTTGTTTTCTGTAAATCACCACCACCACCACCACCACTACCACTATGCAAACCAAATATTCTATAGGGTTTGTAGGATACACTACACCATATTCAGCAACTAACATATCATAGAAAAGGTCCTCCTTGGAGGATTAGAAATTAAGCAGTGTAATAGTAAAAGCAATTCAAATACCTTGTGCACTTTTTAACCAGAAAACAGAGAGCACACTGTTTCTTACCTCACTTAGCAGTCCTCCGCCACAGCCAACGTCAAGAATCTTTACTCCAGAAAGTGGATTTCCCAGATGATAATTATGACTCATGCTCAACAGAGTATCTCTGAAAGAAAAGGGATGTGATTGAGGTCTAACACACAAGGTGCTTTAGTAGATGCAATATTCAGTTACCTTAAGTACTGATAATTGACAATGTTTTCTGAGGTTATGCAGAAATAGTACATATAAGAAAATTCTGTCCTCAAAACCATACCTAATAAATGGCACTCTAATATCATTCATAGAATGAAGGGCTGAATATTCTCCTTCTTCATCCCACCACTTGTGCGCGAGGAGCTGGAATTTTTTTATTTCCTCTGAATCCACTGATGAGTGTGCAGTGCTGAAAGGCCTCTTCGCAGTGAGCCTAAATAATGAAAGCTGAATGTCATTAAACTAATACCACTATTTCACGTTGGCTGAAATTAAGGAAAAACAAATTCTACATCAGAAAAATGAAAAAAGGTAAAACTCATGTTCCTTTAGAGACTCTAGTTCAACTTGTTTAGTAGCACACAGATTTTATATGCTTTATGGGTAACACACCTTCCCAAACAAATGGCTGCATGCTTGTAATTTTTATGTCAGTAATTAATAAAACAGGAATAGTCCACTTCAAACATTTAAAAATGAGTGAGATTTTAAAATGGCTCCATGTGACGCTGTCACAAAGTAAAATTAAATTGTTATAGAAAATGGCAGTCCTTGTCACATGGGATTATTTTATATGCAATACTTACGTGCTGCTTTTCATTTCAGTCAGAGAGACAGGCAGAGTACTACTGGATTTCAGTTGTATTTTCCAATTGTAGTCCTGAAGGATACTTCTCAGGCCTGTCTGAAAAGACAGATCAGCATGGCCATCTGCATAAAGAAAAGGCAACCAAACGAAAAACATCAACTTTAGGAGAGCTCAGAGGCAAAACACGTAGTTGTAACAATGCAGCTCTAGCAAAATACTAACCATGCAAATCTTTGCACATTTGCTCACTATCATAATTAAGGAGTCCACAGGGATTAAATAAGAGCGTATGCCAGTTCACCACCCCTGTACTCCTCAAGTTACGTGCAATGCCATTTTTCAGAGTCTGAATGGAGCTTTTCATGCAGCTGAAATGTTTCAATTAGTGTGAATTTCCCCAAAATGTTTACTCTGACGTTAAGGTGTGCATACACACACTTATCAACAGTGGGTTTATTACACGTTGGGATGACAAACACACAGCTGTACACTCATTTTGCACTGCATGAAATGGCAAGGAAACGTAACTAAGAAAAAGAAAACCTCACGGACTGCCCACAGACAGGCCCAGGACACTGTCCTGAAACTGCCCTCCACTCCTGCTTTGCCAACGCAGAGCTCGGCTCTCCTGGCACAGCGCATCCCCGCTCACATCGAACTGCTGCCCGGTCCCCTGAGCCCCCAGACCACAGCAGCACCTCACCGCACCCACAGCAAACCACCCCAGAGGGTGATTTTAAGCTGCAGAGAGCGATGGAGCGATCCACAGACACCCCTGGGCTGAAAAGGAGGCGGCAGGGGACAAACCCCTCCACTGGGAGAGCCAACCCCAGCCCACCCCGGCCTGCCGGGCCCAGCGTGGGCTGGGCTGGTGCGGCACTGCCAGCCCGGCCGGCGGTGCCGGGGACGCGTCCAGGAGCTTCCACACACACCCGTCGGGAGGTGTGCGGGGCCCGGCTGCGGGGGACTCGGGCAAGCGAGGCCCCGTCACTCGGCCCGTACCGCGGGCCGCGCCGGCCCCTCCCGCCCGCTCGGCCCCCTCACCGCCCGCCGCCCGCCGGCGCCGCAGGGCGCGGCTGAGCGCTCGGGCCGCCCCGGCGCCGCCGCCGCCGCCCCACATCGCCGCCACCGCCGCGGCCGCCGCTGTCGCCCCGCCCCGGTCCGTTCCCGGCCGTGCCGGCTGCCTCTCGGGCGGGAGCCGGGAAGGTTCCGCCCGGCGCTGGGGCCTCTGCGGATGCCGACCCGTACGGTGGCACTTGTCGCCAGGGCTTCACCTGGAGCGACTCTGTTTAAATGAGTACCCCCTTAGTCCTGATCCTTGCCTGTCTTGGAACAAGAGAAGGCTCCCTGAGCAGAGGCTCGTTCGGATGACACAGCGATGAACAGTTTTCAGTCTTCTTTTATTACCAAGAAACTCACTGGACTTGCAGGGCAGGGCACAAACCACGAGACTCCTCCGTTCAGGGAGAGGGGAGGCACGGCAGGGAAGCGATTCCCACCAGTCTGCAGTGCTCCGCTGCGGGATGGAGCAGAACTCCTGGGCTCCCAGCGTGGCTGGGCACGAAACAAGCACCCGAGCGCTTCCTCTTGGGAACCATCCAGGCTGGTTTGCCGCTGCCCGTTTCAGAGGCTGCCGTGTCACCGTTTGCAGACAAAGCCAGGCTGTGGCCCAGGAAGCACAAGGATGCCTTCCCCGCTCCCTCGCCGGGCACTGCAGCCCAGGGCCCTGGACTGAGGTTCAGGTGAGCAGCTCTGGCAGCTCAGGGCTGATAGACTCGGGGAGCCTTTTCCCCCCAACTTGGGCTTCAGCATTTTCAAATCCCCATGGTGAGCTAGTTTAACAAGCTTAAAATGGAAAAGAATTTAGCCTGTTTTTAAAAAGATTCATTTTCTGACACTTTATTGAGCTGCAGGTCTCACAGCAGAGCCCAATAAGAACCAAAGCTGGCTAGAAGGGCGCGGTGCAAAGCAGGTCAAAGGCAAGCTGTGGAAGCAGCAGCTGGCAGCACTCCCGTGCTTACCGGGCAGGTGATCACAGGTTGGGTTCCCTGCCTGGCCATGCGGATCCTGGCATCCACAGGCAGGAAGCACAGCCTGTACATAGCCAAGGGCAGGGGCATCCTCCAGACTGGAGGAAGTTTGGAGTAGTATAACCTGTCATGGTTTGACTTGCTCTTGCCTCTAACGCCAGTCTGCTTTAACTGACCTTGCTTGGTGCTTACAATCCTCACTGCTTGAAATCTGCCTGTTTACAGGTCTCCTATAAATACACTATAACTCATGTAGTAAAGTTTGGATTTTTTTCTTTTTAAAGCTAAATATAGACTGCTGAAAGGGCTCGAAAAAGCTTATCTCAACAGCAATTAAACATATGGCAAACGTGCATCACTTCTCTACTCACCTGCTTTCCACCCAACAAAACTCATTGTGCACTTAACTTAGAGTCATTAATAACACCTCAGAGCTACTGAAAAAAACAGAGCTCAAAGAAATCCTGTATGCTAGGACGGTCTCCCTAAGATACAAGACTAAGCCTTCCTTCAAGAAGTGCAACTGTGTATTACTTATACAAATTAATTACTTGTCATTTATTTAGCAAAGGAAACACAAAATCCCAGCAAGAGCAAATCCTTACATTGCCATTGCTTTTATATTTGTGATTTTAAAATCAGTAACAAGCAATTAAATACATGCACACTGGCAAGTATTCTACTTACGAGGATAAGCTCGTTTCAAACTAGAGGTAGCTATTCCACAAGACAGGGCCTCAAAGACAGAACAGAGTTTTTGTTATTGTGCCATATTCCAAAATGCACTTAGTTGCTCCATCTTTAAAAGTCAGAATATTTTACCCAACTACTCTTTATTTGGCCTATTCATGGACACAGCTGGTTCCTGTTCTTACATGGCGTAGCAGGGACCTTGGGGTACATATTCACATTGGTTTTGTTTGATTCCACACTATCCCTTATTTATTAAAAAAGTTTTCAAGGGAAATGCCTCCAAATGTCATGTTACTGCGTAACATTCAAAATCCCGTGTCTTGCTTTCCTGCAGTGCCCTGAAACATTTTGGCAGCATTCATTTTAAAATGTAAAAGAATAGAGCAACAACCCAATTTAGACTTTTCCAAAAAGATACATACCCATTTTTGTATATATTGCACATTTTCGGATCACTTCGTAAGTACGGAATTAAAAGACTGGTTGTTATTTTAGCCTGTTCTGTTGAAAAACATTCCTAAGGGAGTTACTAAAGCCCAAAGAAGTCTAGTGTATGTGATGCTGACAGAGTACCGATGAGATTTAATTACTGAGTAGGCCATTATAGTAAGATTTCTGAAACAGTTAAATACAGAGATCGTATGCTCTTTTTATTGGCATACAGTCACTACCCATATAAGTGCATTTGTGTCAAAAAAATAATTTTCATATTTACAGGAAGTGACAGAGTTCCAGTGGTTGGCAGAGTATATAAAGCTTTTCATACACAATCTTTTTTATTATTAGACAGAGAATATAAAATCTGAACTGAAAATCAATGCATTCTGGAAACTGTATTCCTCAACAGCTTTTCTTAAACTTATTTCTAGTTTCTTTCTTTCTTTCTTTCTCTCTCAAGGCATCCTTCTAAAATATCTGAGCTGTTGCTCTATATACTTTTAAAAAAATCCTCACTCTTACCCAGAGCAAAGAGTGTAGCAGGACTGGATCAACACATTTTTATTTATACCCCTACCGATGCAAGTAAAAGTTACGTGTTGCAAATTATGCCTTATTTTGCTCATAGGTATGACTTGTTTACTCTATGTAAAAGGACATTACTGGGGGTTGGGGGATATATGTTATAATTTATAACTGATTAACTAATTCTTTATCTGTAACAGTGTTTTGATAAACATGCATGTATTCACTAGCCATTAGCTTGCTTAATAAAGGCATAGCTAAAATGTGATGCTTTGCACTGAAACAGTTTATTTCTGCATCTAAATTATAAAAAAAATTACAGTGGAAAAATGCTGCATAGCTTAATTTTAATTTAGTTAAATGGATTCATCTGTTCATGAAGACATGCTCTGCAAGTTGCCTGTACTATTATATTTTTTCTTAGAGGATGCAGCCAATCAAAGAAAACTTACTTTGATGTTAGGCCTTTTATCTTTTTCACAACTGGTGTCATACCAGACCTTCTAGCCACAGATGTCTCCCTGAATTCGTGTTCTTCTGCAACAGTCACTGGCCTAGAGCTGTGTATCGTTGGTTTGCTTTTTAATATTATTTCACACTCTTGTTACTAACAGTCAATTTCCTGAAGTAGGTAATCAGTGACCTCTTTCACTTTATAGTAAAACTAAACCCAGTGTATTATCCTTACAGGAATCACAATTCTCGTAATGCTAACAAAAATAACCAGCTTTAATATGCACTATGCATTTAATGCATGTGCCAAAATGTAAAGTTAACCTACTGTCAGTTTTCTAATGTGGACTCAGTGACATTTGTAAACATATTCCATAAAAACATCTAAAATTCTGAGATATGTTTGTGTAATATCCCTGAACATCCAGAAAGTTCTTTCTGAAATTTGGGTGAGGAATATAGTTCCAGAGCTTAATACTGTCACACGAGATCAGTTAGTTGCACATATTCCTAATGGGGTTCAGTCTGTTTAAGTATAGCTTGTATTACAGTGACCCATATTTTACACACACAGCATATAGTACTTGCTAGACCAAAAAAAAAAAGGCTATTAAAAATCTATTACACATATCTAAAGGAAAATGTCTTTGCTCTGTTCTTCCACAACCCCAATGGAGTAATCTCATCAAATCCAGGAATTACATATTGTGACAAGTGTTTTATGTTAAATCTTTCTCAGGTACTTTAAAAATTTGTTATACCAAAAAAGCTGCCTTTTTTTTAAGTACTTTCTACCATTTAACACAAAATTCAGGTGCAAGAATTTTAAACAAAAATTAACTAAAGAGCTTTATTGACATCACAGTACATTCAATAGTAATTTTAAGAACATTACAGCTGAAAGAGAATGGCCTGTTTTATAGTCTTAATAAGCACTACCGTTCTTGAAAAAATGTAATACAAAGAAATCCTATTAGGTATTTAATTCTGAGCAGCATTTGGAAAAAATACACCTATGTACAGATAAAAAAAGGATTCTGGTTTCACCTACATAGCCACAATGTGCCTCTATAATGAGACAAGCCTTTTATAACTCATGGAATTTTTAAACATCATAGCACTGGTGCCATAAATTCCTCAGCGTTTACGACGAAGAGGAGTTGTTGATCTGAAAAATAAAGGAAAAGGGGGAAAAGTTAATTGGAAAAAATAAAAGACCCCCAAACCCACACACACTTTAGTCTTAGTAATTAATAGTTGTAAAAGATTTTCCAAAGTTACTTTTGCCCAAGACAAAAAGTTTAATAAATACCATACTTTATTTAAAAAGTTCATATGCTGAACACATGAAGACGAATATAAAAAAAATTTTAAAAGTCAGACAAAATACTTAAAAAGTATACTACCTTGATCGTGACTTAGACTTGTGTTTGCGGCTTGCCTTCTTACCAGACCTTTGAGATTTCTCCATGGAGCATGACCGAATATGCTTTGATTTCTTAGCCTTCTTTTCTTTACTGCTTCCTGGTGATTCAGAACTACTTCTCCCACTAGATTCAGAGCCTGACCGCTTTTTGCTATCTTTGGTAGTAATTTTTTTGCTTTCTTGTCTGGAATCCTGTCTTATTATTTTCACACATATTGAATCACGAGAAAAAGTTCTTTCACTGTCTCTTTTTCTCTTCAATCTACTGTCGTCATGATTGCCAGCCTTACTTTCTTTTTCCTCTTTTTTGGGCTTATCTTTTCTTTTTTCCTGATCTCTCTCCCTTTCTCTGTTCTTTTTTCTGTCTTTATCTACACCTCCACCCTGCTCCTTCTTCCTGTCTTGATCTTTACCCTCACTTTTATGTTTGTGCCTATTTCCAGTTGGGCTTCTACGCTGGTCTTCAGCTTTACGTCTGTCCCTGCTTCTGCTGCGGCTTGCACGGTTGGCTCGCCGGTCTCTTGAGCGGCTACCACTTCTACGTCTATCCCAGCTTTTCTCTCTCGAAGGACTCCGGTTTCTCCGCCTCTCCCCTCTTTCAGCACTGTGATTTCTACTAGATCTTCTCCTTTCCCTTATTTTCTCTCTGCTCCTACTCCTCTCTCTCCTATTTCTGTGGGAGTAACTCCTGCTTCTGCTGCGCCTAACCTTATGCGATGGCGTCCTACTGCGACTGTGCCTCTTCTTCCTTTTAGGAGAGGAAGAACGTGAAGAGCTGCGACTGCTACCTGAGCTAGAGCTATAGGATGAACTAGATACTGTGCTGCTACTGCTGCTGCTCCTACTATTGCTGCTAGTGCTACCACTGCTGGAGCTTCTGGACCCACTCCTTCCTGTCCTATCTTTACCCTCTTTCTTGACTTCTACATCAGGTGTGATTGCATTTGGAGATCTTTTCTTTTCATGAACCATATCTGCTTCAATTTCTTTTGCCTCCTGTGATGCTGAGTTACTATTTTGTTCTTTGTTGATAAATTCACTCATCTCTTTTGAAATTTTTTCATTTTGTAGCTTCTCTTCTGAAAAAAAAAAAAAAAAAGGTACACAGAAGAAAAAATGCAATCAATTTGGAGCAATATGTCAATAATTTCCATACTGTTACTTTGACAAAACCAAATTTCCAAGCACCTCTCTTAATACTTATAATTAAAACACTGTCCACCACCACACCAAACTGCTCATTTTCTTTCCTTCTAATTATAGAAAAGTTGTCCTCATGGTTTAGAAAAAGAGTACAGCCCACATGTTTTTAGAAGTCCTTGATGTTACTTCATGTTTCAGTGGTTTAAGATGAAGTTCTCAAACAAATATCCTGGAACACCATAACTCCTGAATTCATATACATACATAAACTTTTTCCTTCTGCAACCTTACTGTACACCTGATTCTCTCCTTCTCCATCCTACAACACTCCTCTAGCAGAACTGATGCTTCCTGCCTTCATTCCAGCCGTGTTCATCTGGGTTTGGCTGGTCTGACAAAGCTGTATTTCCCACACGTGGGTGTCCTCTCAAAGTCTGAACAACGTTGGCTGTACCACTATACTTTGGAGACCTTGGTACCCAATAGAGTCTTAGGAGGAGTACCTTCTGCTGTGGTGACATACTGAGTTGTTGAAATAAAATATAGGGCTTATAGTGTTTTTCAAGGATAATTTTGAATAAACCCTAAATACTAACTAGTATGAACAATCAACAGTTTTCCTTGTAGGTTTTATAGCTAATGAATTCCAAGGAAGGGAGGAATAGCATTAAAAAAGGAGACTTGTAGATAATTATTTGCTTAAGACTCAGCTCAGAAGTTAAGACCACAGCATGTAATACAGGTACATGGTGAAGCTCGCACAAAGTGAAAAGTTAATGTCAGCTGAGATTAGATCTAAGTTTGGCAGTCAGCAAACAAGATAAATGTGGTGAGATGACAACAGATGAATTAAAAATACATTTCTTGAAAGTAACATAATGAGTATCAGGCCCTGATTTCAGACCCTCAGAGCATTTTCCAGAGGTTTCCAAAATTAAAAAAAAACTACTTCTATTCAACCTAGGATCCTTTGCATCACTGGCCAAGTTTATCTTCCCTTCCCATTTTAAAGTGAAGCCAGAAAAAAAAAAGTGACATACAACATTTTTAGCCAAAACACAGCCTTTTGATGTGGGCCATCAGTTGCTGAATTAATTTAGGGGACAAAATTGTATCCAGAAACACACAGTGATTCAAATGGCAGCTGATGGTCAAATCTAACCCAGAAAACAATTCCAACTGGTCCCCAAGTTATTAGGCAATACAGGTAAAAGCCAGCCTATGCTAGAAGATGTTATACAGTATATTAGAAATCTCCTGCCTTTCCAAAACACTGCTACAAATGACTCTGCATTTAGTATTCTTCTGTATTTTGGATGTATAGAATCAGCTGCTTTACTCCAGATTTCTATTTCTGCAAGTAGTTCCATGGAGATATTTCCACACTGGCATCTGGCTTTGTGCACTGGGAAGACAGAGGTCATAAGCTACCACTGGGTCACTCTCCATATGACTATCCTTTTATGCATACATCTTAAAACACTCAGAGAGAGACACGAATATTAAGGTAACCAAAAGTTTAGTTAATTCAGCTTTTCATTAATAGCAGCATCTGTTTTATTTCCAGGCCTTTAAAATAAAAAGTAAAAGGAGGAAATCATCAATCTTAAAGTGCTAATCATGATAGCACTTTCTCCTCCAGCCTATGAACTTGGTTTATGACTTATTAACATTGCATTCACCTGTTGATCTAGACCGCTCTTCAGCACTGCAAGGTGACTGTGATACCCTTTTGACCTACGTTATTCGTACAGAAGAACAAACCTTACATTGTATGGAAAAGCAAAAGTAAATCACAGATTGTTGTTCTTGTTTTTGGGTTTTTTGTTTGTTTGTTTTTAAATCAAGCCTACCACCTTCTTCATAGGCTAAATGTCAACTGACTGAGTTAAGTAATTTTTCTCTGTCATTAGGTTAAAACCCAGTTATGAAGATGCAGCATATGAAAAAAACCTCAACTACAACGGAGGTCAATGAGTTCAAAGAAACTGTAGGTCCCACTGTACGTTCTGAAAGACGTGCTGCCTGAGATCAGCAGAACAGCAAGATTTTCAGATGATGTGAAATGTGCTTCATATACTAAAAAAGAGTATTATAAAGAGTATTCAACCTTAAGGAATCAAGTTTATATAAACTGCAGTCTGGTGCAGGAAGGTGAAATTTATCCCCTAGGCACAACTGACACACTTGTAACTTTTAAAAATACATTATACACACATGCATTTTTATAAAGTGACATGATTGTTTATACAATATCTGTACAGTACAATATCTAGATCATACATATATGCACCATGTCTCCCCTTATACACTGAAGTGGAAAAATTTATGGAAAATGCTAAATGCATTTTCTTCTTTTCAACAAGAAAATGCTTTCAACTTTTCAACAAGAAAAACCCCACTTTGATCAAGTAGCTCAAACATCTTTTTTGTTAAAACAGTTTAATTACAAATAAATAACATTACTTCTACATTTGGCATAAAATGCATTTTCTCTCCCATCAATGTACATATACTAAGTAGCAAACTCCATATACAGCAGCACAGTAAGAAGACACTATATGGTTTACCTTCTAGCTGTTTTTCTAGTAATAGTTGCTGTTCTCTCTCTTTTCTCCAAAACGCTTCTTGTTTTTGCCTGATTCTGTGTCGTAATTCCTCATCATCAGTATCAGATGATTCAGAGCCTCTGTCACTCCTCTCATCTTCACTGTCTCCTGATCCATAACCACCCAGTCCACCTGCGTGCATAAAGCCCAGTCTATCATGAGGAAAGGTTAAGCTTTGTTCTTAATATTTCTGTGAGGCAAAGAGGAGAGTAACATTCCCTTCCTTCACTTCCTCTTCTCTGAAGAAGTCACTTTATTCTGGTAAGTGCCAATGTTGTTTGACTGGTGTGTTCAAGGCTCCCATATCTGCATTGATGCTCACTGTCTGGTTCTACTCCTTCGGGAACAGCTTGTCTATTTTCAGCAAGCAACCACTGTGATCACGGTACTTTTTTCCATTGTATGGAAGGGCCAAAAAGCTCCCTGTGGAGACTGTAATAGTGCCTGCCTCTGCATCAGCAACCGGACAGAAAATGCCTGGGATCTTTCCCAGAAGACATCTCTGAAATGACTTCAGCCGCCTCCGTACTCCAGGCTACAGAAATTCTGCATGCCATATCAGTTTTTCTATACTGATTTAGAAAACACTGCACTTTGACAGGTATGGAGATGGAACAGAAACAGGCTTTCTTCTCCCCCAGAGATTAATAAATACTGGACTGATAAGAAGGATAAAGTCAATTTAAACATCTGACAGAGATAGATTTTACTTTCTTTCAGTCTAAGATTCTTAGAATCTTTATTTAGTTTTGCAATGTGAATACTTATGATGATAACATTCAATCTAATTCACAAAATTCCATGTAACAAACATATAACTGATCACTAACACTGCTGTAGTATGTTTTAGATGATAAAAATCACGTTGGGAAAGATTTTTGCAGTTATGTCTCAAGATGGAATTTCAATCTATCTTTCCCATGTTGTTTATGGTAATATATGATATGGGAGCCTTTGCGCTTATGTAGCTTTTCAATAAAATAATAATTACAAAGATTGTAATATTTTCACTTATAGACTTTTACATTACTCTTCTATCAACTTTCCCCTCTGCTTTGGATGGATCAAGATAGGAGAAAAATATAAAACAGTATTCCTCTCTTTGAAGACTGCAGTGTGCTTCTGAAACTATGACACTTCAAAAAGTAAATTTATCTAAAATTTTTACATATTTTCAAAATTAGGGCGAGATTCCCATACACTAACTGCCTAGTCCTTTACTCCAAATACTATCCCACTTACATATCAGTAGGATCACCTGTGGAACAAAAAAAGGTGCTGATAATGATAAAGTTATCAGAAAGTGACCCATACTACCGGGCAATTAAAATCTAGTTTCAAAATGCAATTTCTAGAAATGCAAGGCAAGAGCAAAACTCCCCCTTTAAGCCCTCTCAAAAATAAGGAACATACTTACCGAGTCCAGTGAGGGAAGCCAGTGCACTGGACTGTGCCAGCTGTTTTGCAGGAGCTTTGTATCACATCAACAACAGGAACAACATGTTAACACAAATAGCCACGATTTCATAGTCATGAGTCTATGGTATTGTTAAATCTACTACTATTGCTGTTCTTTGGAGGGAGAGAAGAAACATTAAAAACGCATCATCCATTTAAAACCACTTCCAGATTTTCTGACCACGAAGATTTAGAATTTAACTGCAAATTAACAGTGAACAGAAAAAACCAAATATATACTCATAAATCACTTTCCAAGTTACAGCATCTGCACAGAATTTTCAATTTCAGTAATTACATATTTAGATTAACTCTGTTATGTTAAAACAATCTGTTACGTAAATACAATACATGTTAATAGTGAAAGTAAATTAATTACTAATTGAGGACTCAAAGTTCATCTCTTTTCACTTCTGAACAGCCTTGAGATAAAGATGGTAGTATTAAGAAACAGCTACAGCTCAAGAGCCATTGACACACAGGTACCATTTTAACTGAAATGAATTGTATGAGAAAAATGGAATAACTGAAGTAACTCACAATACACTGCACAGGACAACAGTACATGATTACTGGATTTGAACTCTACCAAGTTGGATGCATTATACTGGAATTGTTCTTGAGGGAGAACTATGGAGGTTAAATGTTCTAGAGACATGCAAATATAGAATATTCGCAGAAGAAACTAAAAAGGAAAAAAACAAACAAACAAACAAAAACCCAAAGGCCGGCATACCTTTAGTTGCTTTACGGTGAACATCTTTGGCCACATAATAGATTTCTTCATTTGTGACATCTAAGAGAATCTCTGTCAGCAGCATTTTTGTCAGCATCATCTGAACAAAACAGTATATGCAATTAAAGGCCAAAACAAATGAATAAATGCTGAATTCAAATTATATACATAGGACTTCACTTCTTTTGATAGGTATGGAAGTAGTCTCCTGCACATTTTATTTAATGACTTCTTTCAACAGGCATGATTAAAAAACCTGAGACCGAAACTGTTTAAATGTGACCTGATTTCAAAACTTTCGGGTTTGTATTTTGACTGCAAGCTGTATCTGCATGCATTGCACACAGTTATCCAGGGCACTGATCCTAATGTCAAAGATATATAACAAATGAATATGTAGAACAGAAATGTACTTAAGACTGATCCCAATTATTCTTTCAAAAAATAAGGAGCACATTTCTCTGGTATGCTCCCTGGAAAAATCATCAGAGGTTACTTACATGGAATTTCATTATTACGGATTTACTACAAAAATTGAAATGATGGTAGCTTGTTCTCCGACATGTTCAGTCTGGCCACATGCTTTACGAAAATATATTCATCAAACTTATTAGAATTCAGGGCCTTAATTAACAAGGTTTCAGTTGTACAATTAGCATTGAACTGTGATTTCAAAGTGTGAAGGTTCTGCACACAAAGTGAAACTGTTGCTGGTCTAGGAGTTAGGGTTCTAGCTCTTTGTTGCAAAAATTCATTTCTTACATTCCCTTTCACAGGAACTGAGGCTTAAGCACAGATTTGAGATCAGTGCACTTAATAACTCAAGTTTTCAGAAATTTGACAAGTGAAGCAAAACCATAGAATAAATAACAATCAAGTTAAAAGTTACAGTCATTATATTCATTCACTATTGTGCTAAACATGAGTTATATAACCTATATCCTTGATTCTATAAAAAAGACAGCATGTGAAGAGACATGCAAATATCTGTACGATGTGCACTGTATCTCTACTGACAATACCAGGCATAGAAGAAGTGGTTTACTTTGATATACACAAATAATACGAGCAATTAGACAGAAACACTTAGTGAGAACTGCATTATTAATACCATTTGATACTCCTTTTCTTCTTCTGTCATTTCTGGTTCACTTTGCTCCTCTTGAGGAGCTGGGGATGGACTCCTGCTGCTTTTCCCAACACTTACAGCTTCTGTGTTTTCAGCATCTTCATCTTCCTCATCACTGTCCTACAAGAACAGCATCATACATTTCAGGAAAAACATAGATTCTGCTGTGACTTCTGCAACCAGACTTGTCTATCTTGCATTGGCCTTTTTAGCCATCAGCGCGCTTGCAGCAAGCGTGGGTAGAGCCCTTCTCAAATCTTTGTTTGCGAAGCCTAGCCATGACGAGATGTCAAGCTCCTTGTTTTCTATTTGTAATAGCCAACTTGGTTTATTTTGTACTGAAATCTGTATTGCAGTTATCATAAAACTATTTATTTCCTCCTTTCCTAAGAAACATACAGGTACCTCTACCCACACAAGCTAAGAAAATACATAGTTGTCAGTTCACTGCCAGACATGTACTTAGCACTACAAACAAGACAATTGCTAAAGTGAAGGCAATGCAAGGTCCCTTGAATGGGCTCAGTTTAGCAAATACAGGTATCTGAATTTTTTCAGCTGCTGACTTAGAATTCAGACTTTCAAAGACTCTGTATGTTACAAAAGAAAAAAAAAAGGGCCAATTTCACCATTGGTTTTTTGCTACTATGGATCAAATATTTTACTTCTCAGACATTAAAAACTTCAAAACACCAAGTAATTATCAACAAAGTAGTGGCATAACCTTACTTCAAGCAACAAAACCAAAGAGGTAATCAGGAATACACAGTCTCTCCTTAGAAGAGACCAAAAACTTGATACCTTTCAAGAAATACAAACCTGAGCAAAAAGTAAACACTTCTACTTACAAATTTACTTTTCTGAGGTAACCGTGGGCCATCCCCTTCTTCAGCCTCCTCACTTTCCTTTTTCTCTTTTTTAGACATCTGTGAACGTTGCTGCTCCATTCTCTCTTTTTCCAATTTTTTCTGTTTTTCTCTTTCCATCTTTTCCAGGCCTTCTCGAATCCAGGCAGGCAGAGTTCTACGCTTCACAGCATCTAAGTAAGCAAGATTTACAATTATGCAAGGTGAAAAAACCTTCCCCCCCAAAAAAAGAACACAAAAACTCCACAAAACAAAGAAGCAAACCCTCCACCCCCATTCAAACAAGTTACACATCTTACTGTGAGGAAAAAACCATTTACAATGGCTTTTTCTTTCCCTGCTCTTTTACTTTCCATTAAAAGAAAAAAAGTCTTCAAATTTTGCAATTCCTTCTAAAACACAGCTTTTACATTTTTTCATTAAGGAGTGGGTAACATGTACCAATCTGTGGAGGCTCCTGCTTCACAGGCATCGCAATAGGTGAACGCTGCCGATCTCTGAATGAAGGTCTTTCCCTTCGATTTTGAGTAGGTGCAGGAGGTGCTGGAGGACCTGGTGGCCCTGGTGGTCCTGGCTGCCAATAAGGTGGATGAAATCCACCTTGAGGTGGACCAAAAGCAGCCCCATGCTGAAAGAGTAATGCAGTTTATTTTTCTTCACATGGTAACACTAAATGCAGCATGTGAGCAAGTCGGTCTACAAAAATCCATGCAAGTAGGAATCCACGATTTCTAGGCTACTGAGATCTCAATCTCTTTTACTGTGATCCCCACAAAACAAGTTTCCTTTAAATACTTAATGAGTAAACTTAGATTTAAGCAGGGATCCTAACAAAGCTGAAAGGGCTTCAACCAATCTCCTTTTATACTGTGCTAAACATTAAGCCTATAATCACCATCTATCTCTACCAGTTCCCTGCCAGCTTAGCATCAGAGCATGCAGTTAAATGAAGAGCATACAAAACTAAGATTTAAAAGTCTAGCTATGTTAGCAGTCCTTCTGTTTAGCTACAACATGAGGACAAAAATTTAAAGTTCAACCTTTTATTACAAAATAATTTTGCACTGTGCATTTTCCAGTAATCATTCATGGATCTAATTATTAGTATGGCTGCTTAAAATATTAAATTCAAATCTATGTCATTTTAGTACAGATACTGGGTTCTGGACAAGCTGTATACAATCCAAAAGTCTTAAATCTTGAGGCATACAAGAGGAGTTATTTAAGATTTGCTGCCCAGAAATGACTCAATGAAACTATTTAAGAGGAGAGTGTTTAGGAAGAAAGTTATAGCATCAAATATTCTACTGACTATTAAAGTCACTAGTGCTGAAGCACTCTCCCACTACAATTTCAGGTCAAGCATCTCTCTTTTATTCACTGCAAAACAAGTTTTCTGTAGTATTTAGAGAAATTGACTTTTAAGAGTTTGTCCCATAATAGTAAACAAAGAATATTATTATAATAAACGAGTATATTGGAAAATTATTTGTTCTACCTAACAATACTGCTGAACAACAGAATTACAAGAAAAAAATAGCCCAGAAGATAGAAAAACATTTCTGCCCATCTTTCTTTGTGTTTGCTTATGAACAGGACGTAGGTTTTTTTAACGGGTACAGTTTGTCATCTATATCAAGAGTTTTGAAAGAAAAATACTGAATATAGAGGGAAGATACAAAACTGCTTTGTGTTTAAGGGTTTTTGTGCAGCTCCTCCTGCCATTATTAGTGCTGAAACCACCTACAGGTTTATTATGCTATGCAACTTATATGCCAGAATGAAGAAAAAACTGGATATGGATTTCTTTAGAAATACCATTCTTTATTTAAAGAATCACAGTAGATAGATATGGAAAAGATCAATGGATCATCCAGTCTATCTCCCTGCAAATACAGGACTGTTTCCTGTGGTACATTACCTACTGTATTTAAATATATGTTTCTGAACTTTATTTTTTTTTCCTTCTTCTCTTTTTTTTTTTTTTAAACACAAAGCTACATAATGTTAATTTATATACTGGAACACAGTGATTCATTTTAAATTGCAGACAACAGCCATTTCTCATTACTACTATAGAAAAATAAAACCCTTTGGTCTCTGAACAGAACTGCAAACTCTAAAGTCTCTTCTGTAAAGTATTTGGGAAAAATGTATCTTAGCAGATAACAGATTCTGTAGATGTTTGTAGAACTGAAGAATGAAAGTCGCCGCTAGATGATATTAGAGGAACACATCCACGGAAGGGACTCTGCGCGTCTACAATATTAAAGCAACAAATATGTTTCACCTGATAGTCAAACTGGTTCACTGGCCCCATTGCAAAGTTATCGGGAGGTCCCCCAAAGTTGTGATTGTTCTGGTTAAATATATGCCTGTTGTCAGGAGTAAATTCCCCACTGTCCTGACTGTTGCTGTCTTCAGATGGAGGAACAATTTCCATTTGACCTGGGGTTGGAGTCATCCACTGTTGGTCTGGAGGTGGGTGAGGGGGCTGGTGAGGCATTCCCCATTCTGTTTAGGATTTAGAATACAATTCAATATCAAGTTAGTATAACGTACATGAGTCAACAATCACTCAGTGTTCTCATATTTATCACAAGGTTCCTCACAACATCACAAATGATCAAGTTCAAAAGAATCATTCATCTACAGACTGCCTCAATAATTTCTTCAACTAAAGGAAGGAAATACAAACAGCTGTAGCTGAACTAAAACATGCAGTGGGGGCACAGAATTGGACAGATGTAGACATGCCGTAAATTTGTTTTTATAAATTTTTAGTGACAGTGAGTTCACCACGGGATTTACAAGTTGTTTCAACTGTTAAAAAAAATGCTCCTACTTCTCTACTTTAACTTTCAAAGCAATGACCTGTTTTATTCTTTTGCATAATAGACTTGAAACACCTGCTATGGAGAGCAAATAGTTTTGTGAGCAGCACAACCACTGAAACCTGCATTCCAAAGTCTTGTGTCTTGATAATGGATGAATCCTTGGATTGTCCAATACCTAGCAGAGGTTCTAGCATAAGCTATAGTCATAAGCCCTCAAACATACGTTACAACTGGCTAACAGAATGCAAAGGGTCAAAGGAATGAATAAATAGCTCATGTGGCCATAATTTTTTGGCTGATTTCCTCAGAAGACAAAACTTATGTCTGCTGTACAGATACTTATAGACAGAGCTACCTTGTAATTTTCCCCAGTAACAGAATTAATATCTAGTCTCATGGGTTAATTTCCATTCAGTTCTTTAGTCCATTTTTGTAATTTTTACTGTGCTTCCCACCTGCATCATAATGGGATCCATAACTGTAGCAACTAAAAAGTGTTAGCATAGTTTTTCTACTTGCTAGGGTTTTTTTTGCTAGTTCAAACTGACTTGAAAGCTTGCAAGTAGCATACAACACATGCTGTTTGCACTTGTGGATTGTGAATCCCTTCAAAATCAATTGCCTGCCAGTTAGGTTTTCAGATTGCCATTTTAGCTTTTTATTAGTAGTGGGCAAAGGACTTTTGGATCCAAAAAGAAACTTGGAAGGATACAGAGGGAAGATGAAACTTTGTAGAAACAGAGTAAATATACAAGAGAACTTTGGCTAGCCATCCAGTTTTGTGTGCTGTGACTACTTTTATACGTTAAGAATAACATTGCTTAAACTAAGGAAAAGCTGAGTAACACAGAAGAAGAATAAGATCCAGTGAAATAAATATATAAAGAAACTCACACCATCTTTCTACAACATTCATATCCCTACAACAGGGATACAATAAACCTATTACTGAGTTGTGTTATCAGACCCTTCTGTCTCTACTGTTACCCATTTTGTAGAACACCTGAGTGGAAAGCAGCAGCTGTGATACTTATTAATTAGTCAGCTGGTAGGTTTGCATCTTAAAACCTGAGGGACAGGGCATATTCACACCCAAAAATGTGACAAGAATAAAATGTCATTACATGAAAAAAAGGAATGAACAAGAGGGAAAACAAACCTGGCTGCCACATTCTATTGAAGTTGGGATCCCCCTGAAAATTATTATGGTTGTTTGGACCAGACTCTATTCCTGAAATATCCTGTCCGTTTGGCATCATTCCTTGTTGTTCCACTACATTCTGTTGCCCTGAGGCTTCTCGTTGAGCAATCCATGCTTGAGCTAATGCAGCCCAGTCAATTTGGCCTAAAATAAACAGAGGAAATTAAAAAGGTTACAATTCACAGTAACAGTTTAACACAGTTTAACACCGTTTCTTAATTACATGTCTCATTGCTCAAGAGAAATGGGAAACGTTTACCTTCAGCAAGCACTGTGAGCAGCATTAAAACTTATTCACAGTGTACAGTAAAAGAAACAAAGCAAATGTCAGTGTACAGACTTGCTGAAGTAGAGTTTCTCTGCACATGTTCAAAATGCCATAAGGCACGTTATTTTTAGGTTCACATTAGCACTGAATGGGTGTTAGTAATGCACTTTTTTTCATAAGTGAGCTAATTTTTACATCAGAAATAAATATACAGCCTTAAATTCTAAATTAATGAAGACTCGAGTGCAAGAAAGGTACATAGTAACAAAACGATTTTTCAATGTATATTTTGTATAACCCTTGTTATATTATGTTACAGTTCTCTTCCCTCATTTTTTTCTTTACTGCCATTCCTACCAGTAAATGAATAAATTGCACTCTCAAATGAGAACTAGAACACTAGTGTGTCTTCCCACTCACTGTCAAGTCAAGAAAATGCTCTAATGAATTTAACAGAAATTAAAGTAACAGTAAAACCAGTGTGCCCTCATCACTCTGCCCTAGTATTAAATACACAACTCCACGCTCTTTATCCCTTTCTCTGTTTCTCTTGATATTTTGAATTGTTGTCATCTCATTCTCAATTTAAGGTATATTATGTTCTATTGTTTAAAATATTTGGGGTTTTTGGTGGGGAAAAAAAAATCCAAACAAGAGATCATGATTATCACTGCTGTCACCTAAACCAAACATCATACTGATCTTCCAGTGAGAGTTCTTCTGTATATATGTATCTGCATTAGCACTTCTGCCACATAGATACTAAATAGAAAATCAGATTTTCTCAAATAAATGATTCAGGTTGGCCAAACAACCTGACATGGGATATAGATTCTGTAAAAGAAGTCTAAATGTTGATCTGTATGACTGGTAAAATGTTGATAATTTGTCTAGGATAATCAGGCTGCTTGCCTCTATTTTGCATATTATATATTAATGGTGAGAAAGCATTTGGACTCAATGTATGTTTATTTTTTCTAGTTCTGAAAAGCATCATAAATCTATTGTCTTGAGAGCAGCTACAAAAGGGCAACTAGGAGTCATGCTGTGTAACAAAGATTCAAGAACCCAAATGACAACAGATTAAAAAAAGTAATCCACAAAGCTTTCTATATACTTACTTGGATCTTGCTGGTGCTGAAATGACTGCATCCACTGCTGTTGGTTCAAAGGCCATTGCTGCCAAGGTTGTCCACCTTGATCCCACATCTTTTAAGTCTTTATATAGTCTATATTTCAACTAAAAATAATAGTTGTATGTTTAAACAGATGCCCATGAAATAGCACATAACTGAAACTTACATAACTGCAGATATAGTTAAGCCTTGCAAAGCAAGCTGAAGCAATGCTGGCTTAATATTTTAAGCTGGAGGAAATGGTTCATCCTTTAGAGTAATATCTGAAAATATTACTGTAAGATTTCAGAAGCCTAGTATGCTTTCTCTGTATTTTTGCAACGAACTTAACTACAAAATGATGCTCAAAGAGAGATATGACAAGTTTATAAGACAAGAACTCATCTGACAACAAATGCAATTTAAAGTAAGTCAAAATATGAAAGGCATCACTTGATATCTTTGCCTGCTTCTTAGGGAAAAGAGGTATATTTTTCTATATAAGTGTCATGCAAGGCTGTTAAGCAAGACAGAAGTCACCAAATGGTAAAACACATTGTTAATGACTGCACTGGAGAACTGCACAGGTACAAGATGGTGTTGACATGCATTTTATGCATTGTACAGGCTCATTATAGTTTCTAAATAATATATTCCTTCAAATCTGAGAAAGAAAAATAAATGTGATGGCACAATTACCACATGGTCCCCTAAAATCACGAGAAACAATTTTTGCCGTGCTGTATATCCTCACTGATCAGGCAGCAGCAGCCCTAGGTCCAGACAGCAAAGCTCCACAACCTGCTCTAAGTGGTCCTCCAGGACCAGCTTTGCAAGAATTTTCTGAGGCACAGCAGTTCAGGTAGGTGTGCCTGTAATGGCATTCCAGTTCCTTCCAGTTATTCATACTTCCAGTGCACACCTGACACATGGAGGACCTGGGAGTGGCCACCTATGTTGCTCCAAACAGCTTTTCTGAAGGCAAAGACTGAGCACAGTTCTGGGAACACTTCTCTACAGAAGCTGTTCCCAAAACCCAGTATGGGTAGGAACACACTGAGTGTGACTCCCTTTGTCCCACCCAGTCTGTTAAGAACTTCTCAACAGGCTTCCCACTCAATAAATACATCCTCATGGAATTTAACATACAATCCTTGAGTACATGCTATTAAAACATCAACCATGTAGGTTGTTTCAAATGCTCAAAACTTAAAGACAAAAATTCATTCCCTGAGGTCACAGGAGCAGCATACAAGATCTAGTCGTGGCTCACAGCCAAGTGTGATACAGAATAGATGAATAGAGCCTGTCTGCTTCAGAGCAAACCAGTTCAAAGCAGACAGAGCCACTTGGGTGGCCAGTCAGGAACACAACGCCAGCCGCTCCTGCGGAGCAGGACACATGCAGGCCCCCAGACAGAGCCCGCTTTCGGCAGGCAGAGAAAGTAATTACAGTGGATCTTGCCTGCAAAAGCATCTTGTGCTTAATGCTTATCCACTCACACAAGTAACTGCATGACTGCATAGGAAGAGAGCATCATGAGACAGAAGTGCACAACACAAAGAGTTGTACGTAATGTCGGGGGCCATGCAGAGGGGAACGCAATCTCGTATTCTGCACACTTCTGTCAAAGTAAATCTTTTATTTTAAAAAACTGTAGATCACCTTTAAGACCACTTATTTTCAACAGTGCACAAAAATTACACATGCATGGCTCTGAAAAATTCAGCTGCAAATGCCTTTTTTTCGGGGTCTTTAAACAAGACCAATCCAACTTTGGCCATGGGGGAGCACTGGGCAAAACCTACTTTATTATTTTCTTTATCTTCTCCTGACAAATAAAGTATGGTGGATTTTTCCCACTTTAGTTATATTTTTATGATATTCAAACCTTTAATAAGTGAAGACCTTGTCCTTTTTCTTGTCTCTCTTTTTTTTTTTTTAAATTTTGATCTGTACCTAGGAAATCAACTCTCTTACACAGCAGTTGAGTGTTATGATAGCTGCTAATGCACTTAATGTAACATTTAAGCTGGTCTTGTCACAGCTAGCTCTCTGGATATTCATATATACATATTTCATACATATGAAGAAGTAACTTCATATACTATTTTCACCCTAACATAAGAAAAAGGCAAGTAACTGTTTCTGTCTCCTCTCAGTTCATCTTTCCATCCAGAACACAAATTCTTTCAATTGTCAAAATAAACTTGTTTACATCTTAAATTTTTAACAATTGGCATTCAAGACTACAACTGCACTGCACAGCCTCATGGAGCTGTTCTCTTTGTTTCTAGCTGTTAAAACACAAGAGCAATAATAAAAATGTATTTCAGTAATTCTGGTAGCACTTTCTTACTTCCATACATGGTATGTTGCAACAAGTTTGTGGAATTACACTAAAATAAACTTAGCAAAGGGTTTAAATTGTTTCACTAATAATGTAAGAGACAGCTCTGCATATAACTGAATGCAAAGAAACCTTTTTTAAACAGTTAAATATCAATTTCTCTTATGAAAGTGTAACAATATGACGAGCATCTCTATAAATTCAACTGAATTGGAACCTCCCACACCCAGATTTACTTGATAGGATCAGATGAGATTTATTTTTACTGAACTGGCTCTACCTCTGTCCTAAAATCTTAGGAATTCTGGATTATTTTTTTAACGTGTTCTAACTAACACAATTACGTATCTGTTTCTCCACTGAAATGGATGCTTAGTATTCTGGTCTTTGTTTCTTTATTTTCAGGCCTTGATACTCACTGTGGACAAACTGAAGTACCAGTTTAGATCATTAAGAAGGTCCAAGGTAACAAATGCCTCCACATCTCAGTATAATCTGCGTTCAAGACAGCAACTGTCTTATTATTTTAAAAGGTATTCAAATAAATTTTGTGGGGGAGATAAATTACAGTGCAGCTGCATCAACTGGCATCTGAAATGGTGACTAAGAGACACAGAGGACAGTGACCTTCTACAGCAGCAGCATTCATTCCTCTCCTGGCTTCCCTGTCAGCAAGTTACCATGCCCTAGGACACGGAGGCCAAGTCCACACTCCCAAGGGAAGTGGTGCTGGAGGACCCCACCATCTCCCCATTACAGAACAGCACTGACCCCAGGCTACTCAGTACTGCTCTGGGCTGCTCCCAAGCACATTTCAGGTGTCAGCACAGACCTGAGACCCAGCGGGCACTTGGGGCAAGTCCGTTCTGGTTGGAAGATCAGAGGCTTTCACTCAGTGCCAGCTGGCTTCAGGGCCAGACTGAAAACACAGTTGGGTTGGAGTTGTTAGCACACATAGCTGCTTCTCCACGGCTCTGCAACATAATATGGCCCCCAGTCTTCAACTTTCCCTAGAGAGATTATTTCACCTTAGTACTGCTATTCTGGGGAGAGAAATCAGGTGGGGAAGTGCAAAGCAATAGGTCAAGGCATGGAGCCGGTTTCTATTTTGATGCACAACACTATGACAAGACAGCAACAACAGTATAATACTTTGAAGAACCTCAACATTTGATTAATTCTATTTATGCCATCCAGAGCAGACTGATTTAAAATCACTACCATTTGAAACTACTAATTTTAGTTTGTGAACTGTATTTGAAAGCTTTTAATTCTTTATTGCATTTGTACTTTTACTGTTTTCCTGGAAAAAATGTTGATTTTTCATAGATTGGCAACTATAAGACATGCTGGCTTTCAAGTACACACATTTATTACCGAATTCAGTATAAAAGCATTCTTTACTAATCAGAAACATGCACCACACAAATGCTTAAGCAGTGACATCACTTTTTTTATGCAACTATATATGCACAAGCCCTTTTTCAAATATCATGTGAAAACTGGTAAAAAAGTATTTCTGATTTTCTGATGAGTTGTTTATTTCAACTCATCTTGGTTATTGAGCAATGTGTTTTTACAGAAATAGGAACTGGACATGGAAGGAGTAAAATTAACAAATTAAAATGTTTATAAAACTAATCTTAACATATACAGGCTAAAAGAGAAGACCTCATGTATCCAAATATTTGAGTATTGAAGACTAAATTATGTATTTTAGAATGCACTGCTCAGACCCAGTGAACAGAAGAGGTTTGTTCTAAGGCCTCTGTCTATGTGGTGACCTGGAACAACAGGACACCATCATTTTCTGAGAAACAGACTCCCCTGCTTTTTTGTTTTCCACTTGTTTTCCTGCATTTTTTCCAAGTTTTTCATCAACTCGTATAATGTAAACATGAAAAAGGTACTTGATATAAATTTTTTCTACTTACTACAGAGAGGCTATAGTCATTAAAGATGGTTTATCACCTTCAAAAATTGTTTTGCTGAGCACTGTAGTGTTTAATGGGTTCATCTGCTTTTAAGTTTCAGTGGCAAAAAGGCCCCTGGCTTTCGCTCTTGGTTTTCAGTTATCATGTTCTAAAAGGTAACTAACCAAGTGCTTAGGCTATTTGATGTTATTCTTTTTACATAAAAGCACTGTAACTTTGTATTCTGCTTGTGGAACTTACTGAGCATGCAAGAACTTTTCAACAGAATTACCATATTGTCCCACCATATATCACTGACTGTTTCCTTTGCTGGTGATGCTATCTTAAAGATGTCAAAAATAAAAACAGACCAAGCCAAGTCATACAATAATGAACAAACCAGATGTGAGAGTCAGCAAAACACTTTTGAATCTCAGTGCCATATATTGGAAAGGGCACAAACTCCTTCAAAAAGAACTCACAAAACAGAATGAAGAAAACGGAGCTTGACCTCAGTAATTTTAAAGCTACTGCAAGGGATTCACCCCCAGCACTGAAGCAGGGAAAGAGGAAACAAATCCAAAATCAACAAACAGTGCCTCTTTCCCAAGAGATCAGTAACCTGAAGGCTTGAAACAGCTGAAACCTCTTGTACTAATGTATGTGACAAGAAACAAACATTATTTTCTGAGACACAAGTAGTAATTAACAATGGAGAAAAGAGAATCAGTGTCCTCTCTCACCTAATTAAAATCTGCATTGCCAAATCTAACTCAGGTTGTTCTCACACGAATTATAAACAAGTTTTAATTCCTTATAAAGTTCCCAAATCAGCATCACCTGAAAGAAAGAGGCTTCACCTAACACAATGGACAGCTCTAAGCCTATTCCCCATTAGTGACACAAGGTCAAATACACAGCAGAGCATCCAAATCGCAGTGAAAGGCTTTATTTTTCACTGAAAGGGGGTGGGGGCAGGGGAAGATTAATACTAGCTAAAATCTGCTCAATTCAGACATTAGCACGACACTGACAGAGGGGTACATCAACTGAGAAGTCAATGGGACGCACTGATTCTGACATCATTACTGCACACAAGAGGTTTGAAAAGCAAATGGGTTACAAGAATGGACCCATTTTACAGGTACCTAATTACAAAGGAAAATGCAGCTACTACCCTCCTTCATGATGACGGGTTAAAGTTTTTTTACTTCGCTGTTCTACCCTCCAATTCAACTGGACTTAGCCTTTTTTTGCTTTCCTCTCTCTCTAGCAAACACAAACAAACAAAAGAACATTTATTGGTGCTTCAAGAGCTGTTCCCTGAGGAACAGGAACCTGAATCTATTAAAAATTTGTTTACCAATGAAGAAACAGAAGCCAATTCAGGATTCTTTTTGTTTTGTACAGAAACACAATCACATGAGCAAAACACCTCATCAACTCGCATCTAATTTCAGTTACATGTACTTAATTTATTATGAAAAGTTCATGTGGTATCTCAAAATTTTGCTGGAGTTTTTATGAGCAAACATTCTGAAATAGCTTCTTTTGCATGTTGCTTATTTAAAAATAAAAAACACAAACACAAAAAATAACAACTCTCCTATTCAAAGGCTGGACCAGGATCTGCTGAAGTTTTATTAAAGCATATTACTGGTATGAAGAGTGCTATCCTTGAGAGGACTGCTGGGGAAGGCTCCCCTGCTGACAATAAAAGCCGAGACAGCAACACAGACAGGACTTACCTCGATCTCCAGCAACTTCTGAGAGCCAAGAGCACTCAGAAAAAAATTTAAACTTGTTGTCAAACTTTCTACTACAGTATTGAACTTAACTTTTTGTTGGGTAAAGACAGAGAAAGAACAGATATTTTAAAAGGCACCTTTCCACTCCTCTCCTTGATCGTGACTTCAGCTTAGCTACAGATTCTATCTCAGTGTTGACTTGTTATCTTAGGAAAAAAAGGCATCTCCTTCAACCTATTCATTTGTTTGCATAAGGTATTTTCCAACACAGTTGTATGGTATGTCCAGACACACCACACACTCAAAAGCATACCATTAGAAGGTACTTACCAGTAAATACAGTTTTAAGTGATAATTCACAAGCTCACCTTTAACTCTGGGAGACTCCCCCCAGCACTTCCCACAAAACACAGTTATCTTGAAGCAAATTAGATTTGGACACCAACAGGAATGCAATCTGTTAAGAGCATGGTTTCCTGAGAATTTCCCAATGGCACAGTGCTTGGTGAGGGCCCCTGCAGCTCGCTGCCCACTGATGTCAAAGATGGGGCCATTTTTAAGGCCACCAACAGCCCTTGAGTGCTAACAGATTCACTCAGATTCCTCAAACAACTCTACCTCAGCAGTTTCACAGTCAAGACACTGTCCTGTGAATGACAAAAGACAAAGCCTTCTTGTTATCCTGGATACTATCTTCCTTACATGCCTTATGACATTAGCCACAGCAGAACTGAAAAAGCAAAGACATTTCCCCTGAAAAGATAATCAAGATCATCTTTTTTATCAATTTAATGCAGCTAATGGGTAATCTGAATTGCTCCAATTCATGCAACTAGTCCAAGACAAGAGCACAAAGACACAGGAAGTTAGCTCCACTCCAGAAGGCCATCAGGAAGATAGATAACTAACCATACCTAGCTGCCCAGATGAGGACTTCCTGCAGACACTTCCTTGCTCCTTCTAAGAAATTCCCATTACTCTGACAACATGCTTCTCCCCAACATGAATGTTACACAAAATCCAAACTACACAAAAAAACCTCACACATCAATGGCTTCTGCAGCAGAGATATGGAGATTCTGAATGACTTTCCAGGAAATTCACGGAAGTCAAATATCTTAGCAATGCACAACAAGTACTCTTTGGAAGATGAAATAAAATAAGGTATTTGTTGGAAGTTAGACTAACTCAACTCCCAAGAAATCAGGAGGCAGCCTAGGACTCAGGCTGTCCCTAGGAGGAGAGTGGCATGCACCTTCTGCTGTGTCACGAGCTGGACATTTGGGTTGGGAACTCCTACATCAGACATCATTTGACCAGATCTTCAGCATCTGGCAGGATGGTTTATTCAGCCCTGTAGACAGGTGGACTAATAACTCTGGAACCTACAGAACCACAGCCAATAATGAAGTGCTTTCTGGGGAGGCTGTTGCATCACCTTTCTGATCACAGGACACATCACTCCTGAAGAGCAGGTCTATATATGACACAAGATTGCCTAACAAGTTTTACTTGTAAACTAAGCTCTAATACATAGCTGCAGAAGTTTTTTCTAGTGACTAAAGATCTTGTCTTGCAGGCATTCCAAACAGCCACTGCACTTTAGCAAAGAAGTATCCATCATCTAAATAAAATAAGAAGCTGAAACCGCAGGCCATCCTGCACACTTGGAGAATCCCTACAAGGCTAGTCTCGGCACCCTAGGGTTTAAAGACAACACACTCCTTTTCGATACTTCATTCATAGGTCAGATATTCAGGTTAAAAAAAAAACAAAAAAAAACTCAAACAAGTAGATGTCCCATCTCCTCTAAGATAACCTGCCAATGCAGACATGACTTTTTGACTATATTTAGGTCTACAGAGTAGTTGAATGGAAAGACCTCAAGTGACAGGAGTCCTGGTTTGTCATAAACTGCAAGTACTGGTTTGGAAACAAATTAATATTAAATAGCCAGTTTTGTTAACTAGGTAATCTCCTGGTGTGAGCTTGAGACAATACAAGCAGCAAAGGCACATCAGTCTCTATTTGATGCTCTTTGTAGAATTCCTGGACTGCAGAAGTCATCCACATCACACCTTGAGAAGGATCTCAAAAGCATCTCATATTCTGTGGACATGGATTTAAAGGAAAATGGAGATGTCTCAGAAGCAGAGCTCTTTGGAATCCACAGATCTTTCGTGTGAGCACCTTATTCCAGTGTAAGGCCTTTTCCTTTCATTCAAGATAGTTGTTACTGACTCTGGAGTTTTAGCACAGTGACTGAGAGCTTATGATGAATTTCCATGCTAAGTTTTGTGGAACTGTTGCAAACAGGATAAATCAAACCATATCTTTACAACACCCGGAGCAATGGAGTTAATAGAAAGACAGGAATCAGGCCAGTGCCTCTAAGAGTTCAAGCTCAACTGTTGTCTGAGGGATGTTTCCCCCTCCCATCCTGCCACTACGCTATTGCTTCAGGAGGGTCATGATAGCACAGACATCACCGATGAGGCTGGAAGGACTAAAGGATAATACACCAACAGTTCACAAGTTTCTCCCAAACATGCAACACAGAGAAGCTCATCCATGATATTATCAATATCTAACCAAGATGGAATCTGAAATCAATATAGGACACATACTGTACAAACTCCAAGAACATCTATCTCAATGTATTCCAAAATGGAAGGAAATGTAAATTCAGCACATCTTCCATGACTGTGTCACTGGAATAAAGGATACTTTTCTGTAAGAATCTGTACATAACAGGTGTGGCTGAAGAGAGAACTGCAAAGGAAAAGTGGCCTCACATACCAAAAGGAACACTCCTTCCAGGAAGAAAAATTCAATGCAGAAAGGGTGCCACAAGAATTATCATCTGGAGGTCTTGACAAGGGAGATCCAGGTAATTCAGAACACCTCTGAAGCTGAAAAGATCTGTGAGTGTGGAAAAGCACTGCATCCTATGCACTCAGATAGCAACAAACCCTAGAAGTAACTATAGAGGGGCTGCAGAGACACATTCAGAGTCAGAACAAATATATGCCATCACTGAGATAAAAACATACCAGCTTCCATTTTATTTGGGAGAATTAATATTTACTACTATATTATACTCAGCTGCTGATTAGAACATTAAATATTTAGGCATGAGTTAAGTCTGCAATAAATCAGAAAAAAGTTAAAGTAACTGTCTTCCCTGCTACTCTGTCTCACCCATCACACTTTTTTGGCAAAGACTTCTATACATTATCTACAGCACCCAAAATTGTTGCAGGTATTTAATGCCCATCTTTTCTCCTCCTGAGGACCAGAAGCTACACCAATGTGCCTGCTGGTAGCTGTTAGCAAGACATCCAGTCAAAAATCGTGTACAATTCTGCCAGCCCATTTACAGCTGTGTACCACTAAAATGGTGGAAGTCAACGTCAGTTGCTCCACTGCATTTTTTAACATCAGAACTTTTAACATCTATTTCAGATTGAAGAATAGAGTCTTTCCAAGTGAGTTACCAAGATCCAAAACACAGAACCAGAAAAAGAACTGATGAAAACAGCTGGTTTGGTATCTATGAAGTTTTCCAGAACCTGGTTCACATGTCAGCACATCTGACTAATATTTACAGTGCTAAAGATGAAGTAGGTTGAACAAGGGCCAAATTAAAAAAAAAAAAAAAAAAAAAAAGTACTATGAAATCTTCTTCAGTGAGTCATTCAAGCAGTATAGCTTCCAAGGTCTGTTATTTCAAACTTAAATCTGCATAAGCTGAAGCCAACTCTTTAAAAGGAACAAAAGGACCAGATATTCGCAAGTCAGGTATCATTTCCTTATTTTTTGTATTCCAAAGACATAAGGACAAATACATGCTTCGATTATCGTAAAGCACCAAACCCACTGCTAGAATATTTACTACCACAGAAACATCATAGTAACTTCAGTAGTTTAAGTCACAGATCTATTAGGTTTGGGGAAAAAAAAAGAAGTTTTGATCTCATTTTTTTCATGTATCATCCCACTGGAAGTCCTGATGGTAGATTTTCAATAGCCATGTAACACAGCATTATTTTTTTTTCCTCCAAAGTGAGCTGTTCATCTGCAACCTCCTCCTTGATCAACATGTTCTGCACAAAAAATTTATAGTACCAATAATTAAGCAAGCAGACAACTATTCCTTGCTGGTCATGAGCAGGTATTACCCCCAGTGATAAATACAGTTGTCACTTAATAAAGAAGGATCAGCTAGTGATGAAAAGAATGCTCAATAACCCACAGCATTACATGGCACCAACGATCACAATATACCTCGGTCATGAAAAGAAGTGAGACTGGACACTCCTGTCTCCATAGTATCTTTACATAATCCAGCACCTAACTAAAAATCAAACATGGTTATGACTCCACTCTACCATTACAGTTTATAAGTTTGAGTTATCCCCAAAAAAACTGCAGAACTGTGCTAAATCTGTGGACTCAAACCCTACAACGCCCTCTGAGGCCAAAAGAGAAGAAACCACTCTTATCAGAGCAGGAGTTTGCAAGTCCCACAGGACAAGGACAATACAGGAAGTCTTGTAATGACATAATAACAGAGATGACACAAGGTTTGCTGCTGTAACAGACAATTTAGAACTCAGGAGGCTTGTCTTCTGATTTGTCACTGAATGGTCACTAATCCCACTGACTTGTCCCTGGACAAATCTGAGGCCCTCAGTTCCTCCTCTGTTCCACAGGTGGGGAGCTGCAGCATTTATCACTCCCACGAGAGGCACCACCTTTAGCGCAGCTTGACCTCAAAATTCGAAAGGGGTTTCTTACTCCTACCAACAATACAGCAGTTTGGCTGGACTGGTACTGTAACCCTGTCTTGGTAAAATTATGTTTGAACACTGCCTGCCTGATGCAGACATGCCTCATGCTTTGAAAACCACCACTCCCCACCTGTGTCTTAAAACCTGTGTCTTAAAACAAATCCTTTATGGCAACACTTTCTCACTGCATCCCACACCTTCCAATAAAGGTTGTTTGCTTGAAAAGATTTACAGGTATAAGTCTAAAAGAAGAAATTCACAACAACCAAGGTGGATGAATACTCCATAATGTGTTACAGAAACCCGGTAAATTTCAGCTGGGGTAGCACATCCTAGAATTGTCCAGTGCTTTGGGTTGGAAGGGAATTTCAAAGATGAAGACCATCTTGTCCAACATCTTGCAGGAAACGAAGTTGCTGAAAGCTCTATTCAACCTGATCTTAAAACATTTCCGATCATGGGGCACATAGCTTCTTTGGAAAACCAGTTCCACTCTCTCACCACTCTTATAATATAAAATTTCTTCCTTATACCCAGTTTAAAGTGTAAAATATATTTTACACTATATGTCAGTTTAAAACTGTTGACCTTTGTCCTGGGCCCTAGTAACAAGACTTTCCCCATTTTTCTTATAGGCCCCCTATAAGGGGGTCAGCTTCAGAGGTGTTCTGAAAGGCCACAAAAAGGTATCCCTGGAGCCTTCACTTCTCCAGGCTGAACAATCCCAATTCTCATCACCTGTCATCACAGGAGAGGGATTCCAACCCTCTGACCATTTTTGTGGCTCCATCCTTAACTGTAAAGCCTAGCACATCCCATCAAACTTCACTTCAACAGCTCTGTGGGACTGCCTAAAGAAGTACAGTACAGTTAAGTGCTGAAACAAAAAGTCTTCCAATCCCGTGGTCTTTCTGAGGATCCATTTAAAAACACTCCCTGCATTTGCCAAGCTACCGAACCAGGTCCAGGTATCTTAAAATTGCTGCTGCGTGTGAGGATATTGTTAACTTTAGTTCTCTGGAGCCCTCCAGTGGAACGAACTCAGGAACGGCCACGAAACGCATGAAACAGCACAATTATCCCGCAAATACATTTCACCCGCAGGAGCCAAGCTGCTGGCACAGCCAGCTACCGAATCCCGGTGCACATGTTGCTTCCCTAACTGGGTTACCGGCTAAACCAAGCGGACACTCTCCCCCGCGCACCCGGCGGCTCCTCCGGCAGGGCCTGGCCGGGTGCGCGCTCCCGGCATCCCAGACTCCCGGAATCCCCATCCCCGCGGCCCCGGGGCATGCGCAGTGCGGGGGCGGCCCGTGCCCGCCGGGCGGGCGGGGTGTGGGGGCACAGCGGGGGATCCCGGGGGTCCCGGTGGATCCCGGGGCAGTCCCGAGGGGGTCCCGCCGACGCCCCCCCCGCCGCGCATGCGCAGCGCGCCCCGCCCCAGGGGCGGCGGGGGAGGGCGAGTGGCTCTGGGCTCGTCCCTTCTCGTCCAGGCCGCCGGTTCCTGCTTGCGGTGCCGCCGGTTCCTCACGCCCGGCGAGCGGCTGCCGCCGCTGCGGCGCGCGGCGGCCTCCCGGCTCGGCTCGGAGGAGGAGGAGCGAAGGGGGAAGATCGGGTCAGCGACATTCGCCTGCCCCCCCGGGAGCGCTGGCGAGCACAGCCCGCCCCGCTGTGCTTACTTACGCTCTCCCCCGCCTCCCGCCGCCGGTGCCGCCGCTCCGCGGCCTCGCTGCCCCCACTCCCGCTCCTCGTCTTCACGGACAAGACAATATGGCGCCCGCTGCCGCGCACCCGGAAGTGAAGCTTGCAACGGCGCTGACCCTCGCCTGCCATCCGCGGACGCCTACCCCGCCATCTTTGCTAAGGGCTCGCGGGCGGCCGGGCGGTGCTTCCCCCTTCCCTTCCCCCGACAGGTGCGGCAGCGCCGCCATCTTTAGTTCGGGCAGCGCCGGCTGCCGCGGCCTCTGCCGGCTCTCCATGGCAGCCGGGGCGGGGCGGGAAGGCGGGGGCGCTCCCGCCTGGAAGCCGCGCGGAGCCAGCGGGATTCACCTCCCCGCCTGCGCTCGGGTGGGGACACCCGCGGAAAGCTCATCAGCTCCGTGGTCTCCGCAGGTAACTGTTGGTCAGAGAGTGTGATCCGTGTTTCCAGTGCGGAGGGTGGAGCCGACACGAAGAGGTACATAAAGCTGGGGTATGAGGATGTAAGTGGTGTACGCGGACAGACTCAGGGCAAGGATCCTACACCGAAATACACAAGTTACCTCAGTGTTGCACGGCTGCAGAGTGTCAGCATGCCAAGTCAGGTCAGTGTTTGTGTATCCGGAGCGTTCGTGGAGCAGGACAATTCTCCTAAGTAGTTTACTCTCAATATCCAGATTAACTTTGAAGTAATTGTGAGATCTACCTCGAAATTTTCCTTCTAGTTTAACGTATGAAGGTTAACCAAAATCACCCGTGGTAAACAGCTCTTCTTCCATGGACACGGGGGGTGATTCCGTAAGCAAGGACTGAGTGGTTCGCTCCTGTGTGGGACAGGGATTTTCATTAGCCGGCACATTACTTACCGCTGCGATCATTGCCTTCCCTTTCCTTTAGCGTCATGGACACAAATGCCTAAAACATCCACATCTCTCTGATCACTGCATAAAGTAAACATTAACACCCACACGGAGTAACAGAGTAAGTTACCTTCTGGACTTTTCCCTTTTTTGTGTCGCAAGGAATGGCAGGACCGAGAAGGCTTTCCACGGACAGGAGTGTTGCAGAGGTCTTAAGTCTGTCCAGTGATGACTGATGCAACAGGGAACCAAGCTCCAGGTTCCAGCTGGAACCGCTGAGTGGTGCTTATGGACGGGCAAGCTTTCAGCCACTACTGAAACTGGGGATGTGAGGGAGCCCCACTCTCTCGGTCCTACCAGAGAGATGGTCTTACTGGAGAATTACAGAACTCAGTTCTTGTTAAGGGAAGAAGCTGTCTCTTGATCTGTGCCCTGTGCCACAGATGGCAAGGCAGGGGAAACAACCTGGGTAGCCTAAGTATTCAAGGATACAGACTCATCTCTGGGGAGCTCTTCCACGGGCAGTGATGTTGTCATACAAGATGAAGGGAAAAAAATATGTGAACTCAGTTGTTGAACAAAGAGCATATAAACAATAAAATTTTCCAAACGGCTGGATGTTTTATTCACGTTTGTCAAATACTATATAACACATGAAAAGACAAAATTAACAGATGACAAATGGCAGCTTTACTCTGAGAAACTTGTTAAAGCACCTAGAATAGACTGGAAAACTGATCAGACTTGTGTTTGTTTTTTAAATACAGTCTGTGTGTAAGACCCTGTTTACTTAGTAATATTTGGAATTAGAAATCTACAAATAAAATGCACCACGTATCAGTACTGTAGTAGAATTCTAAAAATATTATTTGTTACTTAAATACCTGCAGAGAAGAGACTATTGGTTCAAACATAAGGAAAAAAGGAAAGTAATGAAAACAAAATGAAACTTTTAACATACTTGATTTATTGCTCACAAATATGTTGGACTTAGCAACAGGTTTTTTTAATTAATTGGATTGTCTTTTGTATAAGTACAGGCACACATGAACCTATCAGGGATTATCCCTATGTATAAATGACAGCAGAACCAGAACTCAGCTTTGTGGAATGGCTAAATAGGGAATGGCAGCCATTGACACAGTGGTTTCATTTCAGAGTTCACTGCAGTGATCCCCAGGTTACACAGCTGAAAACCAAAAAAAAACTCCTAACCTAGCAAAGAAATGAGGGAA